TAGGACTTATAAACTGTTTCAAGCTATTAGATATGGTGGGCCATTTTGTTTTACTTGTTTCACAGGATTCTTAAACTAACGTTATTTATTTCTAAGGGGGCAAGTGAGTTTAGATGCGGTTTTTATTCCTACCTTTTTAGGATACTTTAGTAGGGTTTCGAAGTTCGCTCTTTGTACGGCAACAATACTGACGCATCTAATTTGCCTTTCACTGTGCTGCTAACTTAACGATGCCCCCTTCAGAGTTCAGATCAGGTTCATCCCTACTATCTCCCACACATTTCTTGATTAATGTTTCAGGGTGCCATTGCTCCTATGGTAAGTATTACTTTTGGCAGTGAAATTTCTTTTCCAAAGCTCAGATGTATTACCAAGCAAACTTACACGCTTCGCCATTTCTTTCACTGATGTGAGGTAGGAAAAATTAAGGTCTGAATTTCATTTTGAATGTGTTGCTTTTACGTAAACAATGGTAGTAGACTTCTCATCTTCCGTTTTCTCAATGGAATGCAGTATTTTCCACTGACGTTTTGCAATCGGTCTGAGACTACTCCTGAACTGCGTTTACCTGATATAGCAACTATCATATGCCTATTATTGTTGTTCCTTAAACTCCTCCCTTCTGCGTTTTTTCCTCTTTATTGGAATAAAGTAAATCATTATTATTATTATTATTATTATCTCACCATACTTCATCTGCAGCTGTTCTGTATGCTGCATTCAGTGCCATCACTGTTTTTAGAGAGGTGATTTTATGTTTCACTGGGCTACGTAAATATTGTTAACTTTGCCACTCAACTTGACAAAACGGTGGATTGAAAGTTCATTAATGAAGGTGGAATATATGAGGTACGCAAACGATCCTCCATAATGGACTAAGGTCATTGGATTATTAGAGTGTTGACCAAAATATATAGCAAGTCCCCCCCCCGAATCGTCTTATCTCACCTTTCCAAAAGAACCCAAAAGCGATAATACTCATAGGATAATGTACATGAACTTAGAGACATGCTGAATGATGCTGGCTGGGAACCATTTACTGAGTACTCATTGAGTGACACAATCATTAATATCACGGATTGTTTCAAATTCTATCGCAATGTGTGCTGCCATAAAAAGACTATACTCAAAAAGATTGACCATTTCACTTCCCCTAATATCAAAAGCCTACTTAGAGAAAAAGTGTGGCTTTACAGGGCTAAGTAAGTAGTGGTCTAGAAAGGAAAAGCATCCCGACGGAAAAATTAGTTGGCTAAACCCTATTATTAACCAGAGAAATTGTCATGTAAAAATTCCGCTTTTGTGAGGAAATCACAGGTGGTAAACAAATTAATCATGTCCCCTGTCAGCCACGTTTCGTGAACAGTTAGTGCCCAGGTCTTGCTACGCTGGGCCACAAGCTGTACCTCGAAGCTTTTCAGAAGCGCCTAGTACGAACTGACGCAAAAACCAGAACACAGATTGGCGACTCGAGAATTCTTTATTCTAACACCAACATATAGGCAGCTTTACAACTAAGGTCTATGAACAAATATTACAATAATAAATAGCGGTATCACTTCTGACGGTTTTGTGCGTGCTTTTTGAAGAGCCATCGATGGGACGATGACTGGTGTATTGATGCCTCCGCGAAAATTGGGGAAGTTGGGTTTGAGCAAACAACCATGAATTGATCGTTCAATCTTCAACTACATTAACATCCCCTCTGTTTTCCTATATACTCTTAAGAAATATTTCGTTTTTTCTCCTATTTTTGCTTTCATCCCCAATGCAACAAACAACAACCTGAGTGACTTTCGTGGTTGTAGCACTCCTGATTTTGGGATTCCATTTGTCAATGTAGTTGAGGATTGAACGATCAATTAATGGTTGTTTGCCCAAACCCAACTTCCCCATAATTTTCGCAGGTCTTCAATCTGGCAGTCATCGTCTCATCGGTCGCTGCTCAGAATGGACCTAGAAGAAAACTGTCAGAAGTAATATCGTGATTTATTATTGTAATATTTGTTCATAGACCTTAGTTGTAAAGCTACCTATATGTTGGTGTTAGAATAAAGAATTCTCGAGTCACCAATCTGTGTTCTGGTTTTTGCGTCCGTTCGTACTAGGCGCTTCTGAAAAGCTTCGAGGGACAGCGTGAGGCCTGGCGTAGCAAGAGCTGGGCACTAACGGTTTTTGAGACGTGATTGACACGACTTATTTCACGTTGGGATACGGAGTGATGCTAGTTGGAGAATATTGAAATGTGGACCACTGTTTCTTCCTAGACAGGGACCCACTTGCAGGACGCACTCGCTGAGTTTTGATCCCGGGGCTTTAAGATTGCAATGCAAGCTCCTATGTTTTTTTATTCGTTGGGATTTTACAGCTCTTGGGGCAAGGAATCGGGAAAATAATTCAGCTTCTAAATCATGCTCCAGTCTGCGAAATGCTTGTGAGTTTAGGGACGAATCTTCGGGCAGAAAGAGCAATAATCAGACTGACACGTGGGTAAAACTTGAATAACTTTTGATCATGTTATTCTGTGTCAGTCTGTATACAGGGCGTATCACATAGTGAAGAAGATTCGTTTACCAGACAGTTGCTGAAGTAATAAGGAATAAGATCTTTTCTGTCCAGAAAATTCTAAGTGAAACCAGAAGGACAATATAGGACCTGGTGGGAGAGGAGCTGTGTCGGAACCCTAAAATACTCAAGTTTCAAAGTTCATAATGTGCAAGCTGAGGGACTTACTATGAGGTCGCTGATGTCTGCAATTGGGCAACAGGCAAATTTAGCAGTTGCATTGTTTAGACTCATCTTTAAGTTATGATGGAGACATGAATATCACACATTCACCATAGTGAAAAGGAGGTAAATCAGTAAATTACTGTTCCCATAGGCTGTGTTTGGAACATATGGCCTCAGCAGAACACTGTCACCTCACACGGTTCTATGTGGCTTTCCTTAGACTGACCACAAAATTTCATTTGCCCTCCACATGATCATCCTCGTGCCATCTTGGGATACCCACTTGTCACTTCCATTTCAGTGTTTATTCAGAGGCTCGGCCTTTGATATTGCCCAGACATCTCCTCACAGTATGTACAGTTTATTTCTACTTCTTCCTGCAAATTTATTGTTCGGTAGCCTCTTGGCTGGTTCTCTAACTACCAGTGTTACTTGTCTCTAATTACTTCTGGACATCTGATACTAAGTATGGAGTGAAGAGAGATGTTGATAAAATTCTGCATTCTGTCAAAGGTAGGTTCAAGGCTGATGAAATTCAGTTAAACTATGAGTTGAGAAGCAACAAAACAGTGCTTTCAACACTGGACTGCATCATAAGATCAAAATGGTAAGCGGAATGAAAAAAACGTTGATGGGAATAACATTCCTATACTAAAGGGAAAATAGTGTCAGTCACTTCCAAAACATCCAACTCAGCATAGTTTTCAGAAACATGGAATGACATTAAACATTAATGTGTTAGTGAATTTAAACAGTTTATCTGATCACGGACAGCTATCTTGTCCGAGATATTATCAGAATGAGAAAAATCACTTGTTCTAGGCAATCTTCCAAAAACTTAAAACCAATTCAATGCTCGTGGTGATGGCAAGCCATCCAGCATTTTTTCAACAATGCCAGATTCACTGACAGAATTCAGTCGTCATCAAACGAAGGACTGGACATACGGCGTTAGTTACTAACTAGTGCCCAATCAAGATGGATGTGAACCACCATACGGCTCACAAACTTCACAAAGCCAGGGTTTCCCTTTGAAATCATAGTGGATGTAGTAATAATATCATCAAAAGGTACTGATATATTGCAATTGTAAATAGTGTGCAGAAGAACAGACAACAGTTTATGTTGGGTTCGTCCAGCTTATCCCTTAAGAAAACTGTGTGAATCAATAGAGTTTAATATTTAAAGAAGAGAGATATAATGCAAAAAGACTGAAGTTATTTTATATAGCAGCCAGTTATCGTTTTTAGAAGGCTGGCAAATGTGATATAACAGGATAACTTATCCGATGATTGTCACGTGCCACTCATAATATATATTATATGTTGAGGTCAGTCCTAGTCATTTATAGGTCTGCAGCCTGATTTTGCGTTGGTGAAGCATACTTCATCACAAGCAGTTCGTCTCTCCCTGTCGTAGAACGGGCACCAATGAAGCCATTATTCACCCAATATGCGCTTTTGGCCCCAGTGAATTTTGGCTGTAGGTAAGCCTATCACTAATAATAATTGAGTTCTCAGTGAGTATAATTTTGCTAGGACTACCTAGAGGTCTAGGTGTGACACAAAGTCACAGTTATATGGAACAGCGGAGTGAAGAACAAAAATTGGTAAAAAACGTCACCATATATCTAAAAGACAGGAATCAAGGTGAAGGATAATAGGGAAACTATTGAAAGAGTATATGCAAGCCCATATTTTGTTTGTCATTAGTTTTTGTGACGAGGTAGAACTAAGATTGATTGTTATTGGCACTTGGAACGCTAATTATCAAACTGTTAAGAATTCTATTGCGTACGAAGTGCAGAAGTGTGGGAAAATCCACGAAAAACTGGGAGAGCGACAGATTTGTCCAGTCATCTACTTCTGAGAGTTGCCTAATTGTGACAGAATTAAGTAAGAGTCGTGAGTGTTAGAAAATACAAACGTTCTGAAATAAGTTAAGGACAGTTGCTAAACAATAGATTCCCATGGAATAAGAAGGTATTAGATGAATTTGGGCATTCTTCGAAAGTTTCTTTACCCAGTACATCTGTCTTTGGAAAATCTATATCCGAGAACATCCCACACTAGGTATGCTGCACCGTCAGAAGAGTAGGGTTTTTCTTAATAATAATATTTTTCCCAATAATATAGAACATAAGAAACATCAGCTTACAGGTATCGTCAAATCGACACAAAGTATTAACGCAGGTTTGCAACCCATCATCAGTTAAAAGTCTGAATCTGATTTGGAACATTGTAAGAACGGGCGCTTTTTTCAAAGTAAGTGGCTACTTTTTGTGGCGAATGTTTCAAGTAAGCTTGCTTTAGTGTCCAACTCGTTGGACGGTGCACCTAGTTTCTCAGCCACTACGGCTAGGCCGCTGAATTATATCATAGCACTGTTTGTTTGGAAAGTAAAAAACATTGAGAACATGTGTTAACAGCTGCTGGCAATTGTAAACTAGTTTTTCCTCATGAGGAATTTAAGTGTCTTTATTTTCTGTTCTGTTGTGTCTTCTTTGACTCGGTATGCATATGGAATGTTCTTTTAACGAGTAAAACTTATTCAAGTCACATTAAACGAGATATCTTGAAATCCTACTCAAATAAATAATTCGAGGCAATTTCGGTTTTTTCATGGCGAAGTTTGGGGGATATTTAGGAGCTTCATGGGGGATAAACAATGCATCTCTTTGGATTTTTCGCATTATTTTGCGTCTGGAACCCCCGAATAGCTCCTCAAAATTTTCACATGAGTGGCTTTGATGACTAAAAAGTTTAGAGCATTGAGATGATATTTTAGAGACGTCCAAGTGTTGTTCTAAACAAGATTGAACCACTTATAGGCAGGGCTTGTAAACCCATAATATGAAAATTAAGTGGCGTTGTGGAGACTGGTCCGAAAATGTTTACTCTAACGTTTTTGGGTGTTGTACTGAGTAGTAAAAGCATAGTAGAGTCGACTACAGGCTTAACACTGGTTCATTAGGTGGACGCAGTATTTATTATTATTGTTTCCTTTAATTCCTAGAGGAACATAGGGTTCAAACGCACGTCTCCGTTGCGTTCGGTTCCTTGCCAACGTTTCGTCTGGCTCTACGTCTGTCCACATGCTTTCCTCTCCTCCTCACATGACCTCCTCCATGTCACTTTCGCGCTGACGACTTACTCACCGCTTCGCATTCGGGTTCCAATCGTGTGGTGACCTGGAGTGTGATGGATGTTACTCACTCAATGGTTTGTTTTCTCAGAGTATGATTAATCCACCCCCATTTCTTCCTGTTTATTTGTTGCACAGTTGGCTCCTGCTGGGTTGGTTCCTTCATTGCCAGAGATCCCTGTTAGTGATCTTTTCTGGCTAGCTATCTGATCTTGAGTGGTATTTAGCGAAAACAGCTGTTGATGAATGTCTGTAGTTTGTTCGAAGTGCCCTTCGTGATCCGTATAGTAGCACTAACTTCACATCGGAGTTGAAAATTCGGATCTTGCTTTTCATTCTGGGTGCTGTTTATCTTCACACAGACTTTAGAGTAATGAAAATTTGCCTACCTTTCCCAATCCTTGCTTTGATATTCTTACCAGTTCTGTCCGCCTGTGGTTGAAAGGATGGTTTCCAGGTCGATAGGTGAGGGAGGTTACTTCCTTCAGATTTCTCCCATTCATGCTGTTGCTGTTGGCCAGGAATCTTCATCACCTCTGTTTTCTCTATGTTTACCTGAACTCCTATCAGGGATGCTTCTTCTGCCAACTTGTTGCTTTTCACCTGCATATTATCTAGTTTGTGGGAAATCAGGGATATATCGGCGAAGTCCAGATCCTCCAAGTTTTTCGTGTGGGTTCATTTTATGCCTGCCTCCTCGTTGCCCGCTGTCTGTCACATTATCCAGTCTACCGCAATCAGGAAAATCATTGGAGACAGTAGACAGCCAGCTTGTCTTACTTCTATCTTCACTTCGAAGGATTCCGTGATTTTCCCACCGTGAATTACTTGGCATGTAGCATTATCGTACAACTGCTGGATGTGTATAATTGTTGGTGGCACCCCGTAGTAGCGAATTAGTTGCCAAATCACCTCTCGATCGACGCTGTCCGCTGAAGGCCTTTTCAAAATCGATGAAGTTGAGGCAGAGAGGTGATAGCCATTCCAAGCTCTGTTCAATGATGATCCGCAGTATTGCGATTTGGTCGATACATGGTTTTTTTTCTACTGAATCAAGCCTCTTCTGGTCGAAGTTTTCCATCCAGGGCTTGTTTGATTCTCTCCAGGATGATGCGACTTAGTATCTTGCTTGGGATAAACAAGGGCATAAGGCCGTACCAGTTCTTGCATTAACTTAAGTCTCCTTTCTTTGGCAGTTTGAATAAGTAGCCTTTCTTCTAATTCGCAGGTACCTTGCCCTTTTTCCACCCATTCTCCAGTAGTGGTGTCATCAGGGCCGCCGATGTTTCTGGGTTCATTTTGAATGCTTCTGCTGGGATTCCATCTGATCCTTCTGCCTTTCCAGCTTTTAGCATCTTTATTGCCTTCAGGACAGCATTTAAGTGATGAGAATTCAGCTTTTAATATTATGTATTGCAAAGGGGGTAAAATTAATTTATTCTTCTTTTATTCTCAAGTTTTTAATTCACTTGCAAAGACAACTGTTTCCTTCAGTCAACTTGGGAAGTAGCAAATATATTCGTAATATTGCTTTCATTATATTATGTTATTAATATATCTTTGAACAGAACAATATTACTATAATTGGCAGAATCACATGACATCAATTTATTCTGTCAGTTCTTGCGAAGTGTATACAATCTCAAACAAACAACTTTACTAACACTTAATTTCATCCATCCAATACTGTATTTCATTACGTAAAACTGATGGCTCCTATTTCCAAGCTAACTAATTAGAATGTGCAGGTATTTTGTATATCGATGCCAAAATTGCTTTTGATTAAATTCACTCTGAGAGGACTGACAACATGAATAGTTACCACATTTATCTGCTGAATATGGCGTGCTTGCTTTCACAGAGTGAGGTATTGTATGGAGTTCATATTTCTTAGTCTCGAAGTTGATTCCAAGTTGAAACGTACCCTTCAACTCTTAAGGGACAATAATTTTTCCTATGCCTCATATGCATGATTTCACACAAAGAAAAGATCATGTTAATCTTAAAGTTGTAGGATATACACTACAGTGTGCATCAGTGGCAAAACGGTTAGGACGCTCGCCCACTATGCACATGGTCCGAGGTTCGACCGCAAGCCGACGCACACCTGATATCAATTGGTCGGCCTGCGAAATTTGGACTACCGATATCACATGCTGAAAATTACATATTTGTACCAATAATACAGTGTGGAATCAAGCTATAATCAGAAGTAAAGATTGATATGAGTATTCGGGAAATGTTTTTATAACCCAACAATAGTATTTTCTGGTCAGAATTTTATTTTATTTTATCTAAACATATTCGTAGTTATCTTATCATTACTAAATTTATCATTCATTATTGCCGAGTTTATTATTATCCTCTTCAATATGTAGTTTAAATGGGTGCAAAATTTTCGTAATGTATCATTTCCGTGTGACTGAAGTTTCCGAAAATGAATATTTAAGTGACGCGTTCCCGTAGTAACGATCAAAATATTTAAATTGTGCTACATATTTTTTAGATGTTCAGATGTATGGATTTTACTGATAGCGTATTGCCGTTCACCATTTTATTTTACCGAAATTGTTTACAGATCGCTTCTTAGACACTGTTCTCATTCAGTATATTATTTCTTTTGTTTAGTAATTAGGTCACCAAAGGTATTTGTATACAAGTAGCTACATACCAGTAGATTGTGATTTCCAATGCAAGGAGCCAATATTGCCAGCACACCTTTATCCCAAACATCTCAGCCACAATTATGGTCACCCATTAATCCAGTAGCGCATCAAAAGAATGTTACTGCTCCGCATCCTCTTTTCAGTGCAGACATGTTGGCTTCTTCCTCAATGCCGTCATCACAACCATTAGCATGTTCCTCGCATTCTGTCCTTCCCCAGTCTAGCCAACCCGTTCAGTCATGCTCAGAGCTATCAGCTGATAGTCATCTTGTGTCTGACTGTTATGCCTCCCTTTTGGGACTGGCTGAAACATTTAGGACAATGAGTCCTCCCAATATGCGTCTTGCTGTTCATTGTTTAAAAGCTATTCTCCATTTCAAACTTCCTGTGAATTTGGAAGCTCGTACTCATCTGCAGCTTGGACGACTTTTATTTCACTATAGTAAAAGTGATGAGCAAACAAAATTTCACCTGGAGAAAGCCCGTACTCTGGGTGCACACTTAAAGGCGAACGATGATTCTATTAAATTTGAAGCTGCCGCTCTGCTAGCCGAATTTTTCGAGAAAAAGGTGAGTCTTTCAGTTATAAAGACAGTATCATGATTTTATATTTCTCACCGGAAGTTTTGCTTTTTAGTTACGTCAATTATGTGTATCAAAGGATCTCAAATGTATGGTTTTACTAGTTATAAAGTGGTTGAAATCATTTCTGCAGAATGCAGTTTTGTACTACCCACCTCTTAAAAAAAAACTACATGAAAGCCATTTCATTACCATAGTCCAAACTCTTAACTTTGGATAATTAGGTTTCTCTTCACCACTTGTCTTTCTTTCATCTTGGCTAATTTTTGACTAAATGACTGATAAATCACCATAGAACTTTGAAAAGGCATACCATATTTAGAGTAAACACAAAATAGACGAAATGAAATGTGACGATACAACAGTAAGTAAGAATATATAGAAGAGTAATTTATTTAACAGTATTGAAAATGTAGGGAATCCTACTTCATTGTGTACGATTCCTAGCAAGACAGTCTATACCCTTGCGTATAACTGAGATTAGTATTCTGCAACTATATCTCCGCAAAAACTATTGTTCTCATCAGTCCAGTACTGGGGTGTTTGTACTGACGAATAATTTTTTGTTTTGAACCGAAATAATAAATTGTCAGTGAAGTTTGGTGACGAAAATCCCTAAATATCCCAGCTTTCAACTATAATTGATTGAAAATTATCCATGTGCTTGAGTTTTTCATCTGAATTCCTTTTTACGAAGTATTTGCAATTTTCTTTCTAGGGCAAACGATATGAAGCAACCTGTATTCTAAATGATGCAATCAGACTATCAAATAACAATCCATACTGGCATTGTCGGATATTGCTAGAATTGGCTGTAAGTTTCGATTATGCAGTACAGTTTTAAAATATTATTAAACTTCTCGTAAACATTTATGTCTGCTGACTTGTTATATTCTATGTCAGCATAATTGTCAATACTTGAATAATTACATTACCTTCCCGTGACCACAACTGTCCTCCAACTTTGAACCCCGCACTAGAGTGCAGCAGTTCAGGTTGCTATATTTCATATTGCTTATACAGGTAGAGAAATAAGAAAGCATGAAGAAACTGTATCGTACAGGAATGTGTGAGATGGGATAAATTCATGGAAAATACTGAGGATTTGTTAGGTATGGCAGAACACAAAGAGTGGATGCATCTATGCAATTGAAACCTGTATTACAAACAGTCTCTAAACATTGATTCTTAGCGTTTCCCAAAACCCATGCAGTCAATCAGTCAATATCTCCCAATGTGACTTAAACCACTAACCGAAAAAAACTTTTTTCGTCTGATCATTCTTAAATCCTTTCCAACCTAATCTTATGCCACTTGACATTTTTCAGGAAGAAAAAGTGAATTGGTACACGTAACACGCCCTTTAGTCATCTCACTGACCAACTTTCCTTCCTAGTGTGTGTAACACTACGCCCAACTTCATGATTACTGACCGTATTAAGCCACCTAACAGAAAGTGTAAAATACAGACATTTATGGCCAAAGACGAGTAGTTTCTTAATATTTCTCACTTTCAATGACCATATATCACATCCATAAAGGAGAATGGACGAAACTGCTCCGTGATGAGTGTACGTGCCAAATGATTTTAATTGCAACTGAAAGGGAAAGGTGGATACACATGTTACTTCACTGGGCCGTCCTCACTTATAATGGCAGATAAAGGAACATGAAATTATTCTAATGTAATATAAAAACTAGTTGCTTCCATACCATTCGAGCCAGTGTTGTGGGTTTTTCTCAATAAAATGTTGCGTAATGTAGTTTTCTTTTGCAATACTGAAGGGGATTTGTAACTTAAAATGAAAATGAAGATACGATGAAGCCAAGTGATGAAACACTCATGATTAAGTATGAGAGCTAGGAGAACAGTCTTCATAACTTCGTTTACTGCATAAGTGAACTGCACAAAAAGAACATTGTAAAATTCAGTAAAATTATGGATTGACTCAATTTGTTAATTATTGTTGTTGACACAGTTCATTAGGTGAAAAGATTTATATTTCAAGTGGATATTCACGTAATGTTGCAACAACACAAGGCATAGTTTAGTCTCAAACAAAAAGTCTTCCATATTAGATAATTTCTTTTGGTATAACCCAGTGATGCAGTATTAGTAACTGGACGATGTTATGAGTACACTGTCAGTATTCAATATTTAAGTTATGGGTGTTTGTAGGATTATGTGCCAATTTCAATGTAGTTTTCGTCATGAACTAACATCATTCGGAGATGTTTGAAAACTAGGGACCTATTTTAGTGCTCTTCGTCAGCGTGCACTCGGGACTTTCAGGCTGAGACCAAACTCGATGACCATCCAGTCAAACTACGACGAAACACCCATTCAGTGCTCCTTGGTTTTCATTGTCCTCTTACTGGTGTTGATTCGTGACGAAACCTACACTGGGAATATCCAATATATCAAATGAATTTATGTAATGTAGGATTATATTCTGCAATACTGCCCGATTTTCACGTATAAGAAGTATTTCAGTAAATGCGTTGATCGTATTTTAATTGTATTGTATGAAAGCTTTCGAACATAAGGAATTCTGTACATGATGCGAACATCTTCAGATCTGTCTGTCTGTTTTCGACATAGAACTTTGCACCAATGTGCGGCAGTTCGAGTCACCACACTCCCTCCATGTACCACACAAAGCAACAGAAGAAAGTAGAAGAAATGTATAATAGAGACAGTAAACAGAGGTGTGAGACAAAGGAATAGTAATAACGAAGAACAACATAGTTTCATTCGAAAGTATAAGTCACAAGGAGTGGATGCATCTGCACCAACCATTGAGAACGATTTTGAGCCATATCACCAATTGTTTCCAGACACTGGTTCTTACTATCCCGAGGACCCCAACCAGTCAGGAAGTCTGCACCTTCCTACGTCACTGACTTAAACTAATTGTTGTGGATTTCATTGACTGGTTCCATGTTTTGGTTTGACCACCACTAGCTCTTTTCCAGCCTGAGCAATCCTATGTCAGCTAACATTGCCCATTGTCGAGGAAGGCGATGACTAGGCATCCGTAACACATGTCCTAACCATTTCAGTCGATGTAATTTCTCAGCCTCGTCGGTTGATTTCCCCTGCTTACCTAGCACTTCCAAAAGCACACGAAGCCTTCCTGAGCATCATTCTCCTTTACTCACATCACCTTCCTCATCTTGCTTCTCTACTACATCTTCGGATACTGGCAGTTGTAAAAAGCTTCAAATGGAATCTTTTTCTACTACTTAATTCCTTCTTTTCTTTTTGGGGTGTTTAGCAAGCTCATATTGCTGAACGAGATGTCAATTCAGCCTGCGAAATCTTGGCTATGGGTTCTGAATACGCCCGTCTGCATAATTCAGACTATACAAATGGTTTATTCCTGTTGAGTAAATGCATGGTTAGTTTTATAGACTATAATTTCAATGTATGTGTTTTGCTTGATATTATATGTTTGTTATTTTCACAATTTGCTATTTACACAGTTCGAGATGAGAAATTTCACTACTGTTTCCTTTGGGAATCGAAATTATCCAGACAGACACACAGTATTTAGTCTGTTGAATACAATAGAAGCTAATGAAGAAACCAACCAAAAATGCAATATGCCATCGAGTTCTACTGGTTGATATGAGTGGCATTCAAGCAGTCATCAGTTCTATTTAAGCTAAAGTACTATAAGTGTGGGTCATTACAACATAGCATACAAATCTTTACGTACATGGTGGGTATGTGTAATTTGTGGGAAAGCTGTTAAGTAAACTTTTATTTTGTGTGAAGAATACAAACAGGCTTTTGTAACATTACTGCAGCTATACAAATATACAGGCTGTAAAGTATTTCAATTACCTTAGTATCCAGTGTGATTGAATCACTACAATATTATGTTAAGTAAACCTTTAAAAGGTTTGATTGTATGGAAAATTTCATCATGAGCTGATATCAGTTAGAGAACCACTGGAAAACCTGGAAGTACTGAACAACTGTTTCGTCCTAGTTTGGGACTTTTCAGCAGCATACATCCACCGGGGTTCGAACCCAGGGCCTTCTGGTTACAAGGCGAGCTCGTAGACCATTGAGCCACTGTGGCGCGATCCAATGGTCCTTGAATTCTAACTTCTGCCAATTCACGACATAGCGCGAGGATTTCGCAATGTCTTCTTCGATGAGTTACTGCGTCATCTTCAACCTGCTGTACCCTACTGGTTCCCGCTTCCCACTAGAACTCCAGGTTAACTGCCTGAATAGGACCAGTCGCTAGTGAGCATCAGATTAATTTTCAAGTATTAGTTTTGTAGGGATTTTGTTTGATTGCATGGAGGATTTCGTCATGAGCTGACATCAGTTCATAGATTTCTCCATATATTTCTATTGAACAATGTGACTTAGGCGCTGAAAAGTCTTTAAAAGAACCTTGTTTCAAACACAACACTGTCGAATTGTACCAGTAAAAAATATTTCACTTAAAAAGAAAAGATTTCCCTGATGTGTGGTCTGTGAAGCCATGCAAAAGATCATTCTTTGACAGTCGCTTAACGTTTAAACTCAAAAATCCGCCATTTGACAACTAGCTAAAAAGTTAAATGTAATTTAGCAAATAAATGCAGGCTTTGCACCGTACAGTTAGTTAGCAGTGCTCTATTGTGTACTGGCTAACCAAATACTCACAGGTTGAGTGACGTTCAAACTCCTGATATTTTGATCGGACACTTGGTCCTTCGTTTGGTACACACTGAATTCTGTCAGTCAAGTTTGCACCAAACAAAGGACTGGACGCATAACATCATTTACCGCCTAGTATCTAGTACAGTCCTACAGAAGGTCAATCTGGATCTCGAATAAGTGAGTGGTAAATTTTCTGACTGCAGAACTGGGTGATCCGGGTTTGAATGTCAGAAAGCACATGTGTTCTTTGAAGATTGCAAATGCTTCTTGTTGACGAGTACCGAAAAGCATGGAGCCTACGTCTAAGACTTCCTGCAGGTCGCCTTCACTCAGATTTCTAAAGAAGTAAGCTATGGTTGATTACACTTCCATCCAAGTGTACTTGTATTTACTCAAACGTATTATTATTGTTCCCTTGGGTTCCTAATGGTTCCTAGGGTTTCAACTGCACGTCTCTACTTGCTTCTGTCTTCAGCTGTGCTTTTCACCTGCATCTATGTTAGTCCATACTGTTTCAACTCCTCTTCACACGACCTCCTCCATGTCACCCTCGCACTGACGTTCCACTCGCCGCTTCCCTTTCGGCCTGATTCCACTCGAGGAATGACCTGGAGCGCGATGTCACTTAGCGGCCTCCTCAGCGAGTGTCCAATCCATCTCCACTTTCTCCTGCATATTTGTTGGTTGGCGATTGGTTCTTGTTTTGTTTGTTTGTTCCCAGCCATAGTTTCTTGTTGGTGATTCTTTTCGGCCCGGCCATCTGATCTTCAGTATAGAGCGATAGTTGACAGTTGTTGATAAAGGTCTGCAACATGCTGTTGGAAATATTCTTTGTGACCCGCCAGCCAAGTTTCTGATCCATATAGAAGGACTGACTGACTTGACGTTTGTATTGAAAATCCGACTGAATTTTATTGTTGATGGTGAGTGACGAAGATTTCCAGATTGATTTCAGGTTGATGATGTTGATGTGTTTCTCGCCTTCCCGATTCGATTCTCGATTTGACATCCTCGTCCGTTGAGACAATGCTCCCTAGATAAGTGAATTAAGTAACTTGTTTCAAATCCCTCCCGTTGATGGGGATTGGCGCTGGATGTTGCTGTTGTTGTTGGCTGGTTATTCTCATAACCTCCATCTTGTCTATGTCCACCCGGAGTCCTGTCTTCACTGTCTGCTTCTTCGACCAGTTTGTCGGCTTTCTCTTGTAAGTCTTCGATTTTGTATGACATCAAGCATAAATCATCTACGCGCGAAATCCAGGTCTTCTAAGTTCTTCGCGTCGGTCCAGGATATCCCTGTCTTCTCGTCTCCCACTGTCTGGCGCATGATCCAGTCCACCACAATTAGGTAATTGAATAAGAAAAGTTTCAGCTTACTTTGTGACCTGTAGTGATATCATCAAATAATCTGTTGTAGCCTAGGACTCATCAGAGATGGATACGCGCACTACCACATCGGACACGGGAACGAAGATCATGAGATTCAAGAGTCTGTCGCTTGCTAGTAACTAATATATTTTTCGCAGATCTAGAGGAAAGTCATGACCAATGGTTCCCAGCAGGTCGTATATTTACACAGCATTATGTATCATTTGTTCTGTGTAGCTGATGGAGTACGGTTAAAAGTCGTGATGGCTTATGATGTTACACACTTTGTCCAAAGTAGATTAGGTCGGGACTCAAACCTAGGGGACTGTCCGGATGTCTGATGGCTAAGTTAACCTGTTATGTTTCCAAGGCATCAGTATGCTAATTCAAAGCCGGTTTAATTCAGCAACAGGCAAGTGAATCAATGGCCGGTTGTAACAGAACACATGTAGCTAGTTTCAGATATGTTACAATAGATGTGTTGAAATCCTAGTTGACTCATAATTCTTAGCAAATATGTCCCTTATCGAATCTATTGTGTAATTTTTTATTCAAATGAGTGAAAGTGATTTCTGTACGTATTTATGGACATTGGGCAACGGATTTGAGTCCCTCTCCACCTACTTTAGCTTGGGTAGGTGGACAGTATCATGCATCCTCATACAGTAAATGTGTGGCTCTCAGACTAGTATGTGAAACATCTAATTCGAGTAATTGAGTCTAAACAAATATTCATGAACAATATGTTAATGTTGTCTCCTTGTCTACCTGTGTTCAAAGTCATAGCTAGGAGAATATTCGAACATCTACCCAAGAGGATGAATTTAAGGAATAATCAGATTACCAGTATGTACGTTTATGAAACGGTTATTATAATAATAATAATAATAATAATAATAATAATAATAATAATAATAATAATGGTAAAGCTTTATTTAAGACAGTATGCGAATATACAGTACAAAAATTTTCAGCGTATTCAGTTCCAAAGTACTTTTTTCTTCACACAGGATTCACATGTAAAGTAATAATCTGAAGTATATCTTCATTTCGTTGAAGAATTGTATAGCCTTTACTTGGGAGCAAGTTAAATCATCGCGCAAGTTTATGTATAGGTCATTTGATATAACTGGACGATTGAAACAGTGATAAATCCAGATGAAATTAAGCATTATGGAGGAAAGTAATTTCGGTGGCCCAATGATTTAAGCAGGCCGCCTATTTTATCTTAGGAGACCTGAGATCACTTTGATGTTGTGTAGTCAATAAAATCAGGAAGACATTTATAGACGTTGTAGACAGGAATTCCTGCTTTCCCAAGTATCTATGAAGCAAGCACGTGTACAGTTCGTTTAGTTAAGTTAAAAACACAAATTTGGTACATTATGGGCACCAAGAGAAGCGCCACACAAAAAATCCTATAGTCTGTGTGAGGTATGAGGTATTGCCAGTGTACCCAGGCCGAAACAGGTAGTTATCTTAAGGGGTCACCCCCTCCCATGCCTTTGATTTGAAGTCAGATCCACAAATTGGTGAAGCAGAGTCAAGAGGTAAGCCTTCTCATGGCTTTCAGCCACCAAAACAGGTTCATACGCCACTCAGTCCAGTCAGATTCTGGAGCCCATGCAATTCTGGAGCTGTGTAATAAGGGTTTCCTAACTTCCCTAGGTAGACCAGCATGTCAATCTGTCCACCAGCGTGGTCTAAAATGCAATACTTTCACTTTTTTGAGTAGCATTCCTTGCAGCTTGAAAACAGTGAATAGGAATTACCTGACGGAGGTTATGAACGCGGGGCGATATGGGAGCATTTCGAGAGTTAGACCGAAGTCTACTCACCCTCAGCCGTCCCATAGATTCATTCCTGCATTTCTTAGCATTCTACTTGGAGACATGGTCGGCACATTAGAGACATTGTCCAATGGTATACCTATCTTGAATGATGAAGACTGTTGGAATCTGTTCACATGTTTAACTTCTTTCTCTTAAAATACAGGTGTCACCTTCTCAGCTGATATAATTTTACAGCGTCTAACCATATCATCAGTAGACTAAGATTCTTATTTTTCTTAGGAGTCATTGGATATTTTAGTAAGCCAGTGATGTAGAATCTTACATATTTTATTTCTAAGATCGTTATTCGTTAATTAGTTTTTTTACGTGTTATTTTATTTCAATATTAAAGTTACTGTTGGCTAGTAGACAACTGCCTGAATTTACTGTCACACTAACTACTGCCAGTCGATTAATTGAACAATTCAAGGGGACAATGTATCATCGTGAAGCTCTACGTGTATTCTATCTTGTTCTACATGCATCCTTTTATCTTTTATCTGGTCAAGCGAAATCTGCTCATCCAATACTAAAGCAATTGCATCAAAGTATTCAACAGTTTGCTGCTATGGATGAAGGTAGTGTGTTGTTTTTTTTTACTGCATAAAAATACTTTGTCTTAAGTGAAGTATATAAAAGAAAGACGAATTTTGAATAGGTGAACAGCGCCTATGTCTTAGTAAATCAGAACTTTCAAAATATTTTCTGCAACAGTTTATGTGTAACTACAAATCCATTGTAAACACGACATGTTTTGACAGAGGAAATTCAAGGAGAATCAGGCAACTGTTCCATCTTAGGTTGGAAATCTCCAGTGAGGCATACAGGCAATCTCCCAAGGCATTGAGCTAAAAACTGTCAGGTTTCCAATTGAGCATATATATATATATATTGTTGAAATGCTACAAAGTGAGGCGAAATAACTGTCTAGTGCTCTTTGGTCTCCAGTGTTTTGTCAAACGGATTTCGGTTGATGACGATATCTAGCTTGGAGTCAGTCTCCAAAAATCCCAAAGGGTCTTTTCGAATACATCTTTACATTTGACCCTAGAATTAAACTATAGAAATTAGGGTCACCTACTGCTCTCCGGTTGACCAGAAAAACTATGTACTACTATTGTAACAACAGAAGACAAGGGCCACGCAACAAACCGTTTAGTTAGGAGATCAACAGATATGTATAGATTTTCATGTACATTGTTATAGATCATTGTTGGCAGAAAAATACAGTCTTCTGATCGGTGATTTCTCGCTTTGCGGCCGTTTATTGAAGCTCAGATTGTCTATCTGTAAATTGTATCCGCCTACGCAAAGTCTGCTGTGATTGGTTCTTGAATCAGTCTTTGTTCTTATTTTTCTTACGACCAATATTGAGGACGTAAACATTGACGTAAATTACTGTCTACCAATTTAGCCAGCAACCAGCTCTCACCACACTATTATTCCCTTGGGTTCCGAGTGGAACATAAGGCTTCAACAGCATATCTTCATTTCATCCTGTTGCCTGCAATCCTTTTCAGCTGACTCGACGATTGCCCATAAACTCTCATCTCTACCTCGTACGATCTTTTCCATGTCACCCTGGGACGCATACCCAACTCTCGTTCTGTTCGAGGACCTGGCGTTTGATGTTTAACTCACCGTTTGCTTCAGCTTATGTCCGACTCATCTCCATTTCCTTCGGCATATTTGTTGGGCGATAGGTTTTTGGTCGGTTTCTTCTCAGAGTTACTTGTTACTAATCTTTTCTGTCCATTTGATCTTCAGTATAGAGCCCAAAAAGGCAGCTGTTGATGAATGTCTGCAATGGTAGTATGTTGGAAATGCTTTTATTTCGGTGACACGTCGTCAGCTCTCTGACCCATACAGAGAAGCACTTGCATATTATAAATCCCAGTCTTATTCCTCGTGCTGACTACATTAGATTTTGACACTGATTTAAGTTTAATAAAGGTCTGTCTTGCTCTCCCAAACCCGTCTGACTTTGATGTCCTCATCTGTTCTGCCCTATAGTTGAAACAATACTACTCAGATCATTGGAATTGCACTGTTAAACTCTGTACTTATGTATCGTCTTGTTATCATCTTGGTGATACTTTCATTTCAATAATAGTGATATTATTTAGCTGACCACTATTAACAGAATACTCAAGTGAGTGCAATTTACTAACTACACTATTTTACACATGGTAATACTTCTAACCACATTTCGTATTCCAGTAATATCTTCGGTATTCTTCTTTATGAGACTAACGTACAGTTCATTTCATACAATGATTCCCTTTTATAAATTTGAACAAAGAAAGAAGAAACATTGGCGCAGAATAATCTGGGTTCATTTTATTTCGTTGGTTCTCATCAGCTGCGTACAACCTGAATTTTTTAATAAAAGTAAAAAGTGTACAATTTTAACAAACCTTTGTCCATCAGCAAGCATATTGTCAGAGCGTCATAGTGAAATAAAGCGTTGAGATTTACAGGGTGTCTAAAGTGTGTGTAAAGTGCGAACATGTGCCAAGGAGCCTCCAGTTAAAGGGACCTAATTGTTTAAGCTCTTCAATCTCCAAACACCTGATTGACACAGGACACCGAGTAGATGTGCTGGAATCATTCAAAATAATTAACAGACAAAGTACCTTAAGTCTTCTCAGGTTTGCTGAAGCTATAGCGATAAAACGATTGAAGCCTGACTTATATGTCCAAAAAGAATCCGTTGTTGGACTTCAATTACCCTGGTGAATCACTTCTTAGTAACTCTTTGTTTTTTAACTTTGTAAAGTTATCTTTTCACTCCAGCCCCCCCTTTATTTTTCACTTGGCTCCCTTAAGAGATAATTTTTCTTGATCTTCTGAGTTCTGCTCAATGTATTACCTCATCAACTTCTTATCTGATCTCATGTGCACCGAAATTTTAAAATTTCGATCTTCTCTTATCTAATTACGTAACTATTGCTAATTTTCTTTTGTTACCACCCCGACAACACAACTGTTAATTAATTTTTTTGAGAAACTTCTCTCTACCAAGATATATATATATATATCTTGTTTGAAAACACGTTTTCTGATATATGGGGAAATTAGAAGAAAAAGAGTAGAGCTCAAACTATGATTTATGTTTATGTTTAGCATAAAATGTTTCCAAACGTATTGAAAACCATCCTATGTGTCATGCGAAACAATGAACTGACGATAGACAGACAGCATTGCTCTCATTAGAAACATGTGACTTGTTTGAATGTTGAATTACGTAGAAATATAAATAGACTAATCTAGATTGCTTTGTTTTTATGCATCATCAAAGATGATATCGCCAAGTGATTTTTTTCCTTTCTTTCGTATTTATCCTTTCCAATAGTTCATTTAAATCATTTTTAAATGTTCAATTTATGGGTACTTGTTCATTACAAATAATATATCTCTACCAATCAATTTGAAAACAAAAATGTTTTTTTATTCTGATAGCTGATATTGCATCAACAAATGAAATTGATCGCTTCCATTGGATGCCTCGTGAGCATATGGTGATATTAGTTTATCTTGTAACTGTTATGCAATCAATGCAAGCTGGTATGCTTGACAGAGCTAAACGATCAGCTGAAAAGGCATTAATTCAAATAGAAAAACTTTCCGTTTTCGATACTAGTCCACTGCTTACTGTATTCCACTTAAGTCTGCTGGAACATACTGCTATGGGTCGATTAGTAATGGGGGTTCAAACAGCCGCTGCACAAGATATTGGTCAAGCGTGCAGACTATGTCAAACAAATCCTATACTAATGTATAAACGTCTTCCACAACTGCATACATTGATTGGTTTATATGCTATGTCAATGAATTGTATGAGTCAAGCAGAAAATCAATTCAAGTATGCCCTTAGAGTAAGTTGTAACTTCATAATCTTGATTTCATCCTTTAATTTATAAATATACATTATGAGTGATTTTCATGTATATATGAATGGTAGAAATCTGAAAGAAGCATCCTCCTTTACCTCCGTGGGAAGCATCATTTCAACTACAGACGGAACTGACGAAGATATCGGGGGTAGGATCGGGAAAGCAAGACAAGCTTTCATTTCTCTCAAGTCTGTGGAGGTCAACAGATCTGGATTTTCAACTTCAATATAAAGTCAGTGCTACTTTATAGATTAGAGACTTGGCCGACGCGTCAAAAAGGCCACTTCGAAAAAATTACAGACCTTCATCAGCAATTGTCTTCGCTCAATACTACTCAAGATCAGATGGCCGGCCAGGAAAGATCACCAACACAGGGATCTCTGGCAATGAGCGAACCAACCCAGCGGGGGAAACAACTGTGCAACAAATATACAGGAAGAAATGAGGGTGGTTTGGCCATACTCTGAGAAAACAAACCATCGAATGAGTGAAATCACACGCTAGGCCATCGCTCGAGTGGAACCCGAATGGGAAGTGGCGACTTGGTCGTCGGTGTGAGGGTGACATGGAGGGGGGTATGTGAAGAGGAGATGAAAGCATGTGGACAGACGTGGAGCCAGACGAAACGTTGGCAGGGAATTGAACGCAATGGAGACGCCCAGCTGAAGCCCTATGTTCCTCTCTCCCTCCCTCTCTCTCCATATATATACATATATGTGGTTCCATTCGAAAATTTACAAGATTGACTGCCGTACAGCTCTTACGAGAATGTGATAGATCCATTATCTTTCGTTATCTCCCTGTCAGTCACTTACAAACTCTAAAGGTTAACAGCTTGAATTTGTATATGCTTATGAGAACACACGTAATAATTCAACAAACAAGGAAGCCGTTAAAAAGACTTTTAAGAGCAGTATTGCATTGTAAGCGACAGTAAAAATATGCAAAACCTTTATAAACTAGCTAACTAACTAACTAACAGTTATTTGGACGGGAAGGTAAGGAGCTCCAATCAAACTTAAAACAAATTTTATGCATAGTACAAATAAAGTGAGAAAATATACAGGATAGAATTAAAGCCAACAAGGAATAGCCTACCTTGTTACCATGGTAATTGAGGGATGACCACTAATTATTATTTCTGAATACAAAGGTTGCATCCTCTCAAATTTGATGGCTTTTGAAAATTGAGGCAAGGCGGAATAATGCTGTTTGTGAATGACAGAATTGCGACATGGAACTTCGCACAGAAGTGCTGCAACAGTTCAAGTTGCCAAACTCCATATACTACATAAAGGTAGAGAAACGAAAGGAAGAGAGAGAGAGAAAAGATTCAAAACACCATAATGAGCAGAAATATGTGGGAGACAGAATAATAACATGGAAGAAAAAAGGGGTTTAATAGATAAGGGATATTGTAAAGAATGCATACATTTACGTCATTAAGTCTCCAGCTATTGGTGCTTAATACACTGACGTCACCAACTAGACAGTCTACACCATCTTGTATGGCTCAAACTGGCTGTCAAAGACTTCATAATTGATTCCAAGCTCCGTTTTGAACACCCCTAATTGTTTTCCAGCATAATCCTATGTCAACTAACACTGCTCGTTCACAAAAATGGTGGCTCGGTATACACAACACGTGTTCTATCCATCTTGATCAATGTAGTTTCACAACCTCATTACTTAACACCCCCACCCAAAAACTACTTGCCTCCAGGTTACACTGTTTCACATCGTATTTATTTATTTAAACGCATAAAAGGCTTGGTACAATATGGCACCAAGAAGGATGCGCCACACAATAATAATAAAACAACATAGATCAAAAAAAAAAGAAGGAAAAGAAAAAAATATATATATAAGTAGAGAACGGATAAAGAACTTCATCTGGAAGGAAAACAGTCATGCTTAACAAGTTCAAACAGTGTTCGTTAGCTATCATCGGGAAGGGAAGAAAGAAGGAAATACAACACATTCGCCATTGATTACGATTCTTGGCCATATCCGATAACGTTTCGAGCCATCGATTTGAGCTATCTCTCGGACCCCAACCAGGGAGTCGTGACACACCAACCGATGCTAATCTAGCACAAAAATCCTTCATCCCACGACGCCACGTCATGGACTGACCACCCCTCCGCCTTTTCCATCCCGTCCCAGGGCTAGCGAACAGAGACCTGTACGGAAGCCTCTGGGGTGACATTCGGAGCACATGTCCAAGCCACCGGAGCCGGTGTTTCCAGATGACGACATTCAATGAATGGTGATCTCCACTTTGTTCAAACACACGCCGCCGAACCTCAGAATTACTCACGCGATGATGCCATCGAACGCAAGCAATCCTGCGGAGACAGCGGTGATCGAACACGCAGAGTCGCCGCACATCCTCAGCTCGGAGAGGCCAGGTTTCACAGGCGTAGAGCAGGCAGCCCGCACCGAAGCATTGTATACCCGACCTTTGACAGCCAGGCTAACGTCGCGACGGCGCCATAGGTGGCTCAAGTTGATGTATGCCACCCTAGCCTTCATTATACGGTTGGAAATCTCATCCGTCACCCCTCCGCCAGCACTCACACAACTACCCAGGTACACAAACTTATCAACAACTTCAAGCGGTTCACCCGCAAGAGTGAGTGCAGGTACAGGCTCCTGCCAATCTTGTAACAGTACTTTGCACTTAGACGGCGCAAAGCACATACCATACTTACAGACACTGATCGCCAACTGATTAAGTGCGATTTGGGCAGCCTGCATGCTATCGCACAGTAAGACGATATCGTCTGCATACTCGAGGTCGAAAAGTCTATCTCCAGGTAGCAGATCTACACCACCTTCACGCACATCCTTCAGAGCTGACTCCAGAATGTCATCGATGGCAAAGTTAAAGAGAAATGGAGAGATTGGGCAACCCTGTCTAACCCCACTGTTGGTTGGGAACAGTGGTGATAGTTGGTTGTATGCCCTCACTCTACCTGAGGTGTTTCTGTATAGGGCTTTCAGGATGTTAACAAATTTCTCAGGTACACCTCTCTCTAACAGACAGTTCCAGAGCACAGTTCTGTCCAACGAATCGAAGGCAGCCCTAATATCAAGAAACACAACGATCGTTGGCCTGCAATACGTGTGGCGGTGTTCCAACAACTGACGAAGGGTGAACACATGATCAATGCATCCACGACCTGAACGAAACCCAGCCTGCTCTTCGCGAATCAATCCTTCACGTATTTTGCACAGTCTGCGAAGCAAGACAGCAGCCAATATTTTAGACGCGACTGGTAACAGACTGATACCCCTATGATTGTCACACGAATTACGTCGACCCTTTTTAAAGATGGGGACGATAATGGCTTCGTTCCACATTGATGGTACACTCTCTGTCTCCCACACCTTCCTGAACAACCCAGTTAGAGCCATTGTGAGAGTCTCGCCACCATCTTTAAAAAGAGCCGGGGGTAATTTGTCTGGGCCGGGCGCCTTATGGCGTTTCAGAACTTGGAGTTCCTTACGGACCTCCGCTTCGGTGGGTGGGTCGGTACTAACCGACCAAGGAGCACTCGGGCTAATGATAGTAGACACTGAAGCTGGTGGCCAGCTGAACTGCTTCCCGAAGTGCTCTGCCCAGCGTTCCAGGCGTCTTTTCAGGCTGGTAATTGGAGTGCCATCTGCCTCACAGACCGTCTCGCTGACACCTTGTTTCTTGCTGCCGGTGGCTCGTATGAGTTGGAACAGCTTCCGACTGTTGCCAGATGCAGCAGCTGACTCCATCTCACACGCACGTTCTGACCACCAGGCTTCGCGGTCCTTACGTAAACACTGTCTAATCTTGCGCGTGAGCGCCTTTCGCTGATTGTTGTATTCGCTGCCAGCCGGAATGGACCGGCGTTCATCCATGAGTTGCAAGGAACTCGCAGAAACCCAGTGGTTGTTAGCGGAGCATTCTTTCAAGCCGCAAGCGGCTACACTCGCCTTTTGCATGGCACCTTGCACATGAAGCCAATGTTCATCTATACTACTTGGGGGGTTGCTGGCAAGCATTGTTTTTAACTCATTCTGATATTTCAAAGAAGTAGCAGGTGCTACATCAACATTTAGACGACGGCTTTTACGAACCCCACCAAATCGCAAGACGAACTTGGCACACACTAACGCATGATCGGAGTCCAGGCATGTGCTCCAGAAGGAGCGACAGTCTTGTATGCATCCTCGCCACCGGAAACTGACCGCAATATGATCAATCTGAGTCCAAGCTTGCTTCGCAGAGGGAGGACGCCAGGTAGCGCTACGGCGATGGCTGTGCCGGAAGTTGGTGCTAGCTAGAAATAGGTTGTGATCCGCGCAAAGCTGCAGAAGACGGTCCCCATTATCTGACCTGCGACCATGTAGTCCCCACTGACCACCTAGACGATTCTCCTCTGAGCTTAGACGCCCACCTGTGCATTCAAGTCCCCAGCCAGCACTACGATATCCCTCCGACCCGCCTGTTTCAAGAGATCGCTCAGTTGGTAGTAAAACTCATCCTTCATTGCATCCGGGCTGCAATCCGTCGGTGCATAGGCAGAGACAACAAATAGACACCGCCTATCTGGCCTACTACTCTTACTTTCGTATAACCTTCCAGCCTCACAGCACATAAACGACTGTTAATGGGAATCCAGTCGAGCAGTGCAGCTTCGGCTCTAGCGCTCAGTGCGACACCGACACCAGCTACGCCGGATGCCGACGCCACAGGGTCCCCGGATAAGCGCAGGTGGTACATACTACTAGAACTTCCAGATGGAGAGGATAGTCGAAGCACTTCACTGGGATCTTGAATGCGGGTCTCCGAAATGCAGCAGACATCGATAGCGAGGCTTTCCAAAGTTCTTGCCAACCCTGCCTGTTGTCCGATTTGCATCAGCGTCCGAACATTGTAGGTAGCCAGCTTGAACGGGCACGCGGTTTCAGGATATCTGTGTTAGATGTCACATTGGGAACAACCATTTTGAGGACTACTCACTAACATCTCGAAACGACACGGATAGGCTGGGAATCTCGACAAAGGCGAAAGGCTGTCGAAGGTTAAGAAGTCAAGTTTAGCAAAGGTAAAATACAGGAAACTATGTATAAAAATAAAAGTAAGGTAGGAGAGACACAAGTTACTTGATGCATCAATATTGCTTGAAATCATTGTGTAATAGCACGCGATAAGTTTCATTGATTGTTTGTTGCTTCATTCAATTCATTGTGTGAGGGCTGAGGTACTGCCCGGGCGCCCAGACCGAAGCAGGTGGTTTTCTTAAGGGACCACCCCCCGAACCTTTGACTTGGTGTCTAATCCGCAAGGCAGCGGAGCAGCGTCAGGAGCTGCATTCCCGTGGTTTTCAGTGACCCATATGGGTTCATACGCCATTTGATCCGATTGGATACTGGATCCCATGTACCCCATGGTAACTGCTTTCAGTTTAACCGCTATCCAAACAACCTTCCTGACATGGTAGGACCTGCAGGGACGGAGTCCCAGTCACTTAAGCTTGTTGGGTCATTGTGATATTCAAGCCCAACCGCCACTGCAAGGTAGCAATTATCGGCAGGGGTTTCACATCATAGAACTGACGTCAAAAGAAAGTATGGATATCACGCTAGTTGCAGTCAATCTACACATTATATTTGTTGTAGATGAATTCGCCAAGTTAATTAAAAAATCCTAGACAAATATCAAAACTTGAAAAGTATCAACTAACCAAATTACAACTCAGGACCACGAATATTCCATGCTGTGTGCACTGTTTACACTCTCGAACAGGAGTTTGACAAGATATCCTTTTGTACTTGCTCTTGATAAAGCTTTTGAAATGTTCATATTGTCTAGCCAATAGGAGTTTTCTATAAGTTTACAGCTTAACTCGTTTTATCCTTTCCAATTTCCAATGTTAATTTCATACCCTATTTGATATTTTCACGCATGCAAAATTTCTCACCTGAATGTAATGCTTAGTTCATTTGAGTTGTGATATGGTACTTTTGCATTTATTGCTACATCTGCATCACAGTATGCATGTAAACAATTATACTGACGAGTTCCACTGAAATCTATTCACATTTATTTAAATTTTGCTTTCCTTGGAATTATTTTGGGAACGCCGGTGTTTTACAGTTTGTATGCTAAATGGAACATTGTCTGAACCCAGAAACTGAACCAGTCATTTATCTTCAAAGCACTGCAGAAAGCCGAAGGTGTTTAGACCTCAGTCTTTTTCTCGAAACGTCCTCATGTGCCCACGTGTTCATAACCTCCGCCATGTCCCCACATGGTAGATGTATTCCTCAAAAGAGTGAAAGAGGTGTGAACGAGAAACTCCTGGCGCTTAAAACCGGACTGTTAAACATGGAGGACTAAAATATAAGGGAAGTCGAAAACACTGATTCCAAACCTATATGTGCTCCAGAATCCCACTGGAACCTGTTTTGGTAGCCGAAAGCCATAGATACGCAGCTCCACTGCCTTGTGGATCAGACTTTGAGTAGAAGGCTGAAGAGGTGGTCCGATAAGACAATTACCTGCTGCGGTCTGGGCGTTCGGCAGTAACTCAGCTGTCGCACAAAGTATGAGTCTCTCTGTGACACATCTATTGGTGCTCACAAGGTATCAAGTTTGTGACTTGTTAAAGAACAAGTGTAGGAAACTGCATGGTTGTAGCTGTTAATGTCGAAATCCAATACATTCTCTTCATATCCCGGTGACCACATCCATCAGCTGCATGAAGTTGTGATTTTTCATGGTCCACAGGTACACTCTGTGCATAGGCTAATTTGGCGATAAGCACTATTCACTAGTGTTCAGCAGTGTTTGCTTTTGCGTAATAAGTAAAGTGACATATTGGTTGACACTTAAAGTGATCAGGAGTTACTCAACACCAATTAGACCTCGCTCCCTAGAAGCATACTATTTATAATCAGAGACCTTCTGTTAAATTAGTTCATCAAATTAATTCATTCGATTTAATTTCCGAAAGTATTAGAAAATGGGATTCACTTCAATGTCGAGCTGCTTTACTTTTTATTCCGCAAAATACGCTACTACTTATAAGTAGTTAAACGTCAAAATTAAAAGTTTATTTACATATGAGCGACTTGTGTTTCTCGTGCTGATTGTTGGTAATAATTGATCTGTGTTTTAGAATTCACATTCACAGAATCTTATGAATTTCGAGTATAGGATACTGATGTGAACCTTCTCTAACCGACGTCAGCTCATGATGAAACCCTGTAACGACTAACCACTTTACAGCATTTATCAGGGTGATCAATTCTGTTTGCCAATAAAAATCAGCAGATGGTATGCTTGAATTGGATAGTATTGAAAGAAGTACATTTTTAACTTCAACTCCATATAAACTACAATCATGCTCAAAACCAATGGGTGATTTAACTGTGTATCTTGGACATTGAAGACCAAAAGCTATCACATTACAGCTATTCCATTTTAGAACTATTGAAACAATACAGTGATTTTATTTAACTGGTGATAAACAGGAAGATAAAGGGATGTAAAGAAGTGATGGTTTAAAATCAATACAGACGGCTGAGTGCAGATGATTACCAGACCGAATTCAGATTGATAAAGATGTGTCCTGGTTAGTTTTGACATCTTCATCCGTCCCACCACCTGTTTTTGAAACAATCTTTCGTATCAAGTGAAGTATGCAACCTCTGTGAAATCTCTCCCGTTGATGTTGGTTGGTGCTGGTTGTTTTTGTTGTCGCTGTTCATTGGTTATCATCATCACGTCCGTCTTCTCTATGTTCACCTGGAGTCCTGTCTTCGCTGCCAGCCTCTCTCCAGCCAGTTTGTTGGTTTTCGTCTTCAAGTCTTCGAGTTTGTGTGACATTAGGTGTATATCTTCCGGGCGCGAAATCCATATCTTTTAGAGTCTTCTTATTGATCCAGCGTGTTTGTTGTCTTCTCACTCCCCACGTACAGTTTGTCGTATAATCCAGTCCAGCATAATTAGTAATATCACGTCTGATAATAGGCAGCAAGGTTGTCTTACTTCTGGATTCACGCGTCGCTGAGTTTTCTGATGTGGATCATCTGACACGTGGTATTGTCATATACCTGTTGGATGAGGTTTGAAAAAGATTTGGGGCACGTCGAAGCTGGTAAAGGATGTTGACTATTCTTATGTTTCATCACTTACATTTTAGAGTTTCTGGCGAATCAATTTCCTGTCACGATTACTGTGAATGACTATGCTCGTCATTTAATGTAAATTATATGCATTAACTTTTCATGAAACCGTATATATTACTGATTGATTGCAATACAGTTAGTTGTATACCACTCACGTTAAAAAGAAGTGGTCTAAACCCTGGACGACTGTTTCACTGGTTTGGGATCGGATCCATCAGCAGTGTACTCGGTGTGACTCAGCTTAAAGAGTCGAATCAATTCAAACCACCTGATTTTTGGCTAGCTGCTTGGATTTGAAGCATTAACTTTACAAAAAAATGTTTACTTGAGAAGAAAAATTGTCACTTTTGTGATTTAAAATCTTTGTAATTCAATGGTTTGCGTCAATTTATTCCATATATAATATGCATGCATTTCAATTCTTTTTAAAATTTATTTATTAATTTAATTTGATTAAATTTTAGCTCATTGCTGGATCACAGCAAGGTATGAATTGTCGAAGTGTGCCTGGAGATAAAAACCTCTTAAGCCTTACAGGTTCTACTAGAGCCTGTTGTCAACCAGATGGACCACGTGACTCCTTGTCTGTATTAATCTGTCTCAATTTAGCCTTGGTGCATATCCGGAAGGGAAATATAGTTGAATGCGAGGTGAGTAGTAGTAGTAGTAGTACACTGTTACTGTTTTATTGTTGTTTTCTCTCACACATTTATTTCATTTCAAATTAGTGTCCTAAAGAAGTGAAAGAAAGCTTTGTTCATGTAAACCTTTCCTTATTATGTACACAGCTGACTGATTGACATCACGTATATTCTGAAGTGTGAAGCACATTGCAGATGTTTTAATACTGCCTCTTTATCCTGCGACACATTTCACACTTTTGAATGCTATTCAGTCATCTACATCTCAGACCCAGATTAAGGTTGGAATTAATTCAAACTGGTTGCTGACGTATCCAAATAACCTTTGATTCATAAGATCAAGAATTTGTGTATAAAAATTCCCTTATCGATCATGTATTGGTTTAACTACTTGAACCAGAGCCAAGTTCAATATGCGAGATACTGTGGTGCTATATGGTCACTTAGGTTCCCGCTTAGACTCTGTTAGATTCTCTGTATTCGATGGCTGAGTATCTAACTAAATGAGCCACACTCCTACACGGAAAATAGGTCTATAGGCGTGGGTAGTCTCTTCGAAACATCTTGTTTTTCTGTATCCCGTATTATTATTATTATTATTATTATTATTATAGTTATTATCGAGTTACACAATAGAGTACAGTGGCTCTGAAGTACAACCTACGTGTTTGTATTCTAGCGTGGTTGTTGAACACCTATGGCTTCTGTACGCCTCATCGTCAGTTTGTAAAGACCTTGTGAGGCTCTTTATAAGAATAACAGTAATAGTAAGATGTTCTCATTTGTTATCAATTAGCATGACTCACAGACTGATTGCAAAAAATACAATATGTTTACATACTTTAACAAATTCGTCATGTTCCACTGATCTATTGTACAATTGATATCCGTTTCTTTAGGCACTCTGATTGTGAATAGGATGTTCGCTTGTCCTCTCACTCTCGATTTCATCGATATAAACAGACGAATAGTGTGTCACAAGACAAACTGTTGGGCAAGCAAAGTCGTTTGTGAACCTGCAAGTGGTTCCCCTCCGGAAAGGTTTGAAACATCCAGTTAAGGAGTCCGAATTCATTAAATTTATTTACCTACAGTATTTGATAAAAAAAACTCATGTTCTGTTGTCAAATGTTAATCATGATGACTGGTAATAATAGCTCTGACAATAATTATTTATTATACTCAGAGACTGATCAGTGAATTAAGTATATAAATTTAGATAACTTCATCGGGTTCTACACTTATACCTCCGTGATATAAACACAGGTCATATTTTCCAATGTGACCAGCTGTGATTCCTCAACTAAAGAAAGAAGTGCCTAAGTTTTATCGATTCAACTGTTCCTATGGAGACAGTTATATGTACACCATTTCCTTAGGAAGTTAGTTATTTTGTATTTGGGAATACCTACCTACCTTCAACCAGTGTAACTAAATAAAAAGGTGTAGTAAAAATCGTCAATAGTTCGATGCTAAACCTCCTGATTGAAACAGGTCGTGAAGCCAGCGTTGAAGGGTGTTTTTCTACCAATAATCGGGTATCAAAATAAATTGTCAAAGACCTGTAGATACTGAATGTTGGGAATAGGAGAAGCCAGTGGAATTCGCTTAAAAATAACCGTAACCTAGAAAGTCTCTATTATTGTTCTTGATTTATCTGATATTTAGTTCAGTGGTATATTGATGCGTATTATCGCTTACACAGATTGTTTTGAACTGTAATCTGTTGATCTAATGTTGTGAATAACAATCATTGTCTCACTGTTATAGGCGTGACTGTATAACCTGATGAATAGGAAGTCATGGAGAGAAATACTCTTTGTCTGCCAATCAGCCTTTTAGAATTTCTACTAAGCATCTTTAATTACTAATAATACTGCTACTACCGACAGTAACGAAAATAGTTTTAAACACATGATTCTGAAGGCAAGGTTTTAGTTAGACGTGGATTAGGTTTTGCAAGTAATAGTGTTTGTCGCATAATTTGTTTAGCATAGACAGATGTGTAATATACAGAGCTCAAGAATTCGATGAAGTCGAAAATGGAAACAACGTAAGGAATTCAAAAACACTGTGCGGATAAGTTTAGTCATAGAAGTCAATATTGTGTTTTGGGGATCCAACGTCTGTCAGTCTCTTTTGGAACATGCTGTCTGATTACTATCATATCACATCCCATTGTAGCAGATACCTTAGTAATTGAGTCTGGGGACAAAGTCTCACCGAAAACATTGATTGACTGTCGCACTACATCAGGCATTATAGCAGAAGTTAGAATTAATGTACCGCTAGATTCCGTCCTAGTAGCTGTGAATAGTCTAAGACCTGGCCTTGCCTTGTGTAACCTGAATGTTTTGGGTTCGATCCCTGACGGTGGGTCATGCATATGTGTACTGCTGAACTGTTTCGTACTGGTATAAAACAACTGTCTATACTCTCTCTGCCGGCTTCCTTCCAGTGGTTCTGTAACGGAAGCCAGTTCGTGATCGAAATTGAAATCGGTGAAATCCCTGCAAAGCAACACTTGGTGATTATATTCAGAGAGATTGCTAGACAAAAGAACTTAGCTGGATTACACAAACCGACTAATTCACTGCTAGGAAAAGATTAAAAGAAGCTTTGTTGGGAAGAGAATTTCTGTGATTTATGTAGGGAGTGAGTTTGATACTTGGAGACCTATAAATTTATACAGTTTGTAAAAAAAAATTCACTTTAATTACTTATTTCTTTGTCCTATAATGTGGAAATAAACGACTGTGGATACGATAAAAGGTTTGCTTGTTTCCTTTTGCGCCACTCATATCCTATGATTATTATTACTATTTATGCTTATATACTGACAGCATTAAGGATATTTCACTACTGTAATTTCAACATCCTGTTTCCACATGTAAAATGTAGAGTTTAGACTATTTCTGAAGTCATTTATTGTGTCAAACAAATAATAAATCATACTCGTTGCACAAGAGGTGGCTCTCATGGCTGAAGGGGTCTAGTGGTGGATAGTACTTTGGGCGTTTGAAACAATTTGTGCTAGTTTTAAGTTTCAGTGAGAACATAACATCACTTGCTCACAGGAGATTGCGATCACACTCAGTTGATAGGTACTAAATAGGACGAAACACGCTCCCTGGATTCCACTACTAGTCACCAACCACCAAATTTGTTTCATTCCCCTTACTTTCTCAGTGAAACATAGTGCTTCAAGGTACAGGCTTGAAGTTTCGGTAGCAGTGATGTTTATTTTTAAGGGATGGGGTAGCTAGCCTCATACCCAACCTTCTCTCTTTTCCAGTCTTATTTATTGGCTTATTGAGGTGAAGGAGTTCGTTGGTGGTGGGGGATCGAACCCTGGACCATGTGTATAGCTGACGAGCATTCCATCGCTGTGCCACCAACATTATATTAATCCTGAAACATATTAAAAGCCTCCGTACTTGGAGCTGAGCATTTTGATCCAATTATACTTAAATAAATGTTTATTTTTTATGAATTCTATTCACATAGGCATTATTGAATGAAGTATTTTCATCTGGTATCCATGTACTAGAAGGTTGTTATTGTCTTCGTGCTGCTGCAGACTATGTTCGAGCATTTCAAGCATTTTATGAAAATAGATTGCTAGATGCAAAATCTTTTCTACGTGAAACTGTACATTTGGGTAATGAAGAAGAATTACATCGTTTGTCAGCATCAGCTTTTATTACTATGGGTCAAATTCATTTGAATGAAGAAAATACAGCTGTAAGTTTGTTACTGTAGCTATTATTATTATTCTGTCAAGTGAACTTCAGTTAATGTTTTATGCATGGTATCATGTTTACTAGGTGATGTTGCAAATATGCCTTTGTTGAATATACGTTTGTGGAACTGTGACTGACACACACACACACACACATTAAGTGTGGCTCTTTTCCATGTGGACGTAACAATCCCTGTTGAACAGTAACGCTTCTGTACTCTACTTACGAGTGTATCTGTTTCACTACGATTATTACTATGTATCTGGGCAAAAGACAAACTGTGCTATTACGTGCATGCAGTCTTCATGCTCATAATTCTCATTCATTTCTACCATCATAATTTCATTCATTCACATTCAGCTGATGAGTTCTATAAATTCACTAAATGCCACTCTTTTTTGACAGTGACTGCTTATTTCAAATCGACTACAAAGAAAAGAAATATTTTCAATTGCGAATAAAGCATGACTGTTGATTGTGCCTGAAATAAAAAGGAGTTAGTCATAAGTGGCTCATGTAATAACACGGGACTATATATTGATTGAGGTATGCTGTCTCATTGTACACCGTTCGGATGAAGTCAGTTGTCAAGCTTATGACTTAGGTGCGCACCTTGGTTGTGTTTTGTACACTGATGATTCATACTCAACTTTTAGGCTAAACTAGGGATAATTTTGAAGCGGTTGAAGATTAGTAAGACTAAATGTGATAAACTTCCGCGATTCCCTTTTACTGCCTATCTGAGTAATAATATAGGGCGGTGTTGACTATGCGACTGGGTTCTTCATGAATGTTAATACTTATTGGTGTAACTAGCTTGAAGTCCCCATCATAACGGTGTTTTTTTTCTTTTTCAGTTCTCCTATACACTTGAATTTCTAATTCTTCTTAGTTGTTTCTAGTAATCATCCAGATAACTTCAACTAAAATTTATTCTTCACTTAGTCTATTTTAAATTTCGCAATCATCAGTGAGTGAATAACAATCAAAGGGGAAGATTCTATGTTTAAAAAATAATGTAATATGTGCCTATATATAAGCCGCTAGACTAAAGCACACCCTTATTGGCTGGCAAATTGAAGTCTGAGTTAATTAATGAATCAGTTTCTCTTCTCCGTTTTAAGCACTGCACCGTTAATCCAAAAGCCATTGATTATATTCTTCTCAATGTTTACTCCTTCTCTCCACCCCCCGTCATTTCGATTGCTTGCCTTTTTTGTGAATGTGTTTTGGTTACCAGTTGAACCATTAATCAGTTATGCCTGCGTGGTTTATCAATACTTACCTACCATTTTTAATGTATTCCCACCTACACTGATGAAATTTTAACGTGAATGGATAAAATTTAAGGCAAAGCAGTCAGTACTTGTTTTCACTACTAAACGATTGTATAGAAGACAAATTTCGCGAGATGATATTGTCATTTCGTAGTTTCTTTACAACCGCTTTACAACTAACATGGTTAACAATAATAAAATAAAGATCTTGACAATTACTCAGTTAAATAAAATACAAAAGTACATACTAATGACCAATCATATTAAGATAGGTCATGCAGTCCATGGTAGGCGAAGATTGAAGTCTACTGTTTTTTGTACACACAGTTTAGGCTGTATATGATTAATCCAAAGTGCTTCCATCACCTTCAATAACCTTGAATTAGAGTTATGTGAAATAATTGTGAAACAGTCATTCATATTGATTTTGTGACCAGACATTAATAAGTGTTTTGCAATGGATGATGATGCTGGATTTCTATTCAGACTAATTGCATTGGGATTTTCTACATGATTCAGTAGCCATTTTGGGACATGTTCTTTTTGACGACATTGGAAGATTCTGTTGGTTCTACTTATATAGGTGTCACCGCAGCTGCAGGTGAAATTGTAGATACACTTTGAAGTAGAGTGCACAGAATTTCGTCCTTTAATCGTAGGTACAGGGATCGAAAATGTTCGGCGAGTTAGAAAAAGAAATGCGGTGGCATAGAATGAGCGTTTGATGACTGACCGAAGTCTTTGAGCTAGCTGTCAACTGAATAATCTGGTCACCCTTGAATGGTAGGTTAAAGATAGCTTTCTTTCGTACGGTACAGAAGCTGTCTTTTCGAGATGTGGTCTTTCTTTCCTGTGGCAAGTGATAAAGTGTTCCGGATAACCATTAGCCAATAAAACTGAATGTATATGTCGAAACTCATACATCAATGTGTCACTCATGCATATATATATATATATATAAACGGAACCATAATTTGTAATCAAACTTCCGATTAATTAAATGAAACATTTGAGTTACTCTTAAGATTTAAAGCACAGGATTTGTCTGCGACACGGCATTATATATACTACACACAAATATAATAGATGGAATAAACAAACCTCGAATTGTGAGGTGTCTGTAGGTGTCTGTATACCGTCGAATGCACTGTCACTTAGTTTCAGTAGGAAGACACACGCAAAACAGTGTCAAAGGTGGTGATCCGTTTGGTGTGATATGAGCGATTCGTGATCCGAATAATCAATGTTCAATAGTGAGTATAACATAAAGTGACGAAAAGTGTACAGAGAATACAGTCTAACCATAATAAGATAATTACACCAGACCGATTCTAATGCTTATTTATAGTTCGACCATCGCTGTCTCCGCAGGATTGCTTGCGTTCGATGGATGGCATCATCGCGTGAGTAATTCTGAGGTTTGGCGGCGTGTGTTTGAACACAGTAGAGATCACCATTTGTTGAGTGTCGTCATCTGGAAACACCGGCTCCGGTGGCTTGGACATGTGCTCCGAATGTCATCCCAGAGGCTTCCGTACAGGTCTGTGTTGGCTAGCCGGCCCTGGGACGGGGTGGAAAAGGTGGAGGGGTGGTCAGTCCATGACGTGGCGTCGTGGGATGAAGGATGTTTGTGCTAGATTAACATCGGTTGGTGTGTCACGACTCCCCGGTTGGGGTCCGCGGGAGCGAGATAGCTCGAATCGATGGCTCGAAACGTTATCGGATATGGCCAAGAATCGTAATCAATGGTGAACGTGTTGTAATTTCCTTCTTTCTTCCCTTCCCGATGATTATTATTATATCCTTTAATTCCTAGAGGAACATAGGGCTTCAGCTGCGCGTCTTCAGTGCCTTCTGTTTTCTGCCAACTTTTCCACCCTGCTCCAGGTCTGTCCACATGCTTTCATCTCCTCCTCGCATGACCTCCTCCAAGTCACCCTTGGACGACCAACTCACCGCCTCCCTTTCGGGTTCCACTCGAGGGCTTGTCTAGTGATGTCACTTGATGGTTTCCTCAGTGTATGGCCACTCCATCTCCATTTCTTCCTGCTTATTTATTTCGCAATCGGTTTCTGGTTGGTTCGCTCCCAGAGATCCCTGTTGCTGATCTTTTCTGGCCGGCCATTTGATCTTGAGTATTGAGCGAAGACGGCTGTTAATGAAGGTCTGAAGTTTGTTTGAGATGCTCTTTATGACGCGCCAAGTCTCTGATCCATATAGTAGTAGCACTGACTTCACATTGGAGTTGAAAATCCGGATCTTATTTTTGATGCTGAGTGCTGTTGACCTGCACACAGACTTGAGAGTAATGAAAGCTTGTCTTGCTTTTCCGATTCTGGCTTTGATATTCTCGTCAGTTCCGCCTGTAGTTGAAACGATGCTTCCCAGGTCGGTGAAGGAGGTTGTTTCTTTCAGGTTCTTCCCACTTATGCTGATTGTTGTCTGTTGTTGTTGCTGTTGGTGTTGGCCAGGAATCTTCATCACCTCTGTTTTATCTATGTTCACTTGAAGTCCTATCTTTGATGCTTCTTCTGCCAGCTTGTTACTTTTCACTTGCATATCTTCCAGTTTGTGGGAAATCAGACATATATCATCGGCGAAATCCAGATCCTCCAAGTCTTTTGTGTCAGTCCATTTTATGCCCGTTCCCTCGTTGGTTGCCGTTGTCTGTCGCATTATCCAATCTACTGCAATCAGGATAATCACTGGAGATAGTAGGCAGCCTTATCTTACTGCCGTCCTCTTTTCGAAGGATCCCGTAATTTTCCCGTTGTGGATTACTTGGCATGCAGCATCATCGCACAACTGTTGGATGAGATGTATAATTGCCGATGGCACCCCGTAGTAGTGAATTAGTTGCCAAATGACCACTCGATCGACGCTGTCGAAGGCCTTTTCAAAGTCGATGAAGTTGAGATAGAGAGGTGACTGCCATTCTAAGCTTTGTTCAATGATAATTCGTAGTGTGGCGATTTGATCAATACATGACTTGTTTTTCCTGAATCCAGTCTGTTCAGTCTAAGCTTTTCATCCAGGGCGTGTTTGATTCTTTCCAGGATGATGCGACTTAGTGTTTTGCTTAGGATAGGCAGGAGCATAATTCCGCACCAGTTTTTACATTGACTTAAATCTCCTTTCTTTGGTAGTTTGAATAAGTATCCTTTCTTCCAATCCTCAGGTACTTTGCCCTCTTTCTACACCTTCTCCAGTAGTGGCGTCATCAACTCCGCTGTTGTCTCTAGGTCTATTTTCAAAGCTTCTGCTGGGATTCCATTTGGTCCTGCTGCTTTCCCAGCTTTTAGCATCTTGATTGCATTCAGGACTTCTGATTTTGTCGGGGGGTCAATGTTCACTGGTAGTTCTGCTTCCGTTGTTGGTATTGTTGGGCGCGTTGTAGGTGGCGGACGATTTAGAAGTCTTTTGAAGTGTTCAGCCCAGTGTTTTCTTTGCTCCACCCAAGTGTCAAGCAAAATCAGGATTTTAACAGTGAGGATACTGGAAATAATAAATCATTGAAGGTATCACTCTATTTTCTTTTTCATTCCTCAGCTTTCTGTGGGAAAATAGGACTTCAAACTTTAACTCTGAAGTGTCAATAGAAGTGTTGTTTGATTTTTAAAGGGTGATTTGGCTAGCCTCAAGCCTAGTTTCCCCTCTGTTACGGGCCTACATTGGCTAACTGAAGATGGCGAGTGTGTCAGTTAGGAGGCGAACCTCAAACTGC